TACACCTGTTACTGGTTCGGTGCCTGTTGTGCTAAATGTGGTTAACTGTCAAGAGTACAAACCACCCATGAATTCCACCACTGACCCTGGTTGCAATCAATATGTTATAAATATAACCCCGAATGATATGGGTGCTACCAGTCCTCCACCTGCATATGGTTATCTAAGTAATCCGGTTCCACAAACTAGTAAAAGAAGGTTTTAAAATGTCATTTTTAAGTAAGGATGCGAGGGTGAAATATTTCATAAATATAAGTTACATTATATAACCTTAAATATTTCAGTAAATTTTACTGAAATATTTCACCTAAAAATAAATGTCACTCCACGTGACCCATTCAGAGGGGAAGTGGATTCAAATGTGGAAACTATACGAGTATGAAATACCAATTTCTTAAAAATTATTATAATTCTTTTCATTCTGATTACATTATGAGTGAAATATAAAGTTTTAGTTACTGGGTATAATTTTAATAATAATTTATTACATTTAATTATTATATTCTGAATATTAATTATATTTCTAAGGTAGAAAATAAATACCTAAAAGTATTAAAGTTAAATATTTTACTGGCAACTTTTAAGAAAAATAAATATCGCCAACATTTTCAACCTTATTTATAACTTATAAGTAATAATAATTTTAAATTATTTAAAATTATTTTAAATAATAAATAAATAAACTCTCTCTCTCTCTCTCCCCCCTAAATAATGTCTACAATAAATTAATACAATAAAATAACTGTTTAACTTATTTCAGAATATTTAAAAATGAAATATTTAAATATTAAAAGTTAACCTGTAACTATATTATTAAATGAAATAGTTTAAGAGTTAATAATTAAAATAAACTTACATTTTTCACAAACTTTATTGAAAATGCAGAAATTGTACACTATTATACTACAGTATTTAAATGATCGCATGCAAAATCTGCTAAATATTTCTATAATTAAATCATAAAAACTTATTAGAATTTAGATTATTTGCAAACGATTCTCACGGAATTACATTTGTATAGTCAATATTTATGAAGTCATATAATTTGTCATAAAATTTCATAGTCACATAAAGTGTATTTCACTTATCCATTTGTTTTAAACAAATAGCTCAATCAAAAAGAAAATAATAATAATTTGATAAAATATTGAATAAGTAATAAAACAAATGTTTACATGAATGATACACAGTAAAAACTTTTATTTTATGAAAACAATTATGAAGTGTTGCCAGAATTAAATGATACCGGAGCTGTCTAGCCGCACATTCATAAATGTTTCATAGCTACATGTAGATACCTTGATTATAATTTCAATCTATATTTCTGAAGGTTTTAGTTAAATATATTATTGATAGAAAATTATTGGTCTCAAGTATGTTAACAAACTAATAATAAACCGACATTTGTATCGATAAAAAAATTTTGATAAAACAATTATATAATTTTAATAAAAGTTTTAATTTATAATTTATAAAATTAATTATATATTTTACAGCTCAACATTGAATTCATAATAATATATATTTCATATTATAATTCAGTATTAATGATGTATTGAAAATGTTATCAATTTTAATCAAAAATAATTAGTCATACAAGTTACACTAAAAGTTACACAAAATTAGCACATAATCGGTTCAGTATTTATTACATTATCATTAGTTGGAAATATAATGTACTGTGTAACAAAGCAATATAAATTTATATTACAATTATATTTGAAAATACGTTAGCAGTTCAAACGCCTACAAACAAAATAATAAAATGTCACTGTATAAATTTCATTTGTAGACTAGCAATCAATAATTATAGGCCCCATACATACAGTGAATACAATTGTAATTTACAGTAAGTTAATAATTAAATGATTTAACATAAAGCAAAACATTATATACTCTAAAATGATAAAATAACTAAATTTATTAAATAAATTTTATAACAGATTTTATTTTTAAAAATACTTTTGTTACTATCAATCAATATATTAATGAATCTAAATAGTTTGTGCTAAAAATATGCACGTACAAGAATTTTACAAATATATTATATTATATTTATTTATTTTATCATAGCATTGATATCTTATTAAGCAATACAGTTAATTATTGTATTAATTAAATTTTGTTATAAACTGCTATATGAAAGAATATTTTTATGTTGATATAAAATGTGACAGAACAAATAGAAAAATAACACACTCATGTATGCTTTACATCGAGAGTAAGAGAGAGAGAGAGAGAGAGAGAGAGAGAGAGAGAGAGAGAGACTCAGAGATTAATTGCTTGATGTCTTAATATACCTGAAATATGTGATAAATAAACTAAAATAGTTTAGTTGAATACTATTATGTGTTTCACTACACCTGTGCAACGAGTAAAGCCCCAATAAATTGATGTTTAATAATCAGTTAGAAATCAGTACTTCCCTTCTCGACCAGTATTTAACTCGCGTTTAAACACAAAAATTTTTAATATTTTAGTTAACTATTATAACTGAAATATATTCTTTGAGTCAGTGTTTAACATAAAATTTCAATATGGATAGGGAATCGGATATGTGCACGTTCAACTGCAAAAAGTGGACCCTGTTCACATTTTGTTTAATTGGTCTAGTAAGCACACTGATCATGGTAATAGCCTTGTGTGTGGTCATCAATAAGGCTGATTATGCAGATCTACAGGATAAAACCGATATTACCGAGGAAAAATTCAATGCAGCTAAGGTTTGCTATTTAATTCTATAAGTTTTAAAATTTTATTTAAAATATTAGTTAAATCATTTAACAAATTAAAATTTAAATTAAGAAAAATAAATGTACTTATTAATTGCTTTTCAATAAATAAAATACTTAATAATATTCGTTAATAATTAATCTAGCATCTTTTACTAAATTAGCAGTCTTATGTTAATAATAATATCACTTTTAATTAGTAAAGAATATTCTCCAAATGATAAGCTTTTCTGAAATGAAATATTTTAATATAATAATAAAAGCAAACATAATAGTAAATATTTGTATAACTTTGTACCTTGTTTAGAAAGTGGCAATAGGACTAATAGCGGCGATCGGTACGATCAACATATTGATAGAAATGCTGGGCCTATGCGGTGCTTTCAAAGAACATTACTGTATGACTATGACCTACGCTATACTCATGGTGTTGGTAACCCTGGGCAGCATCGGGGTGGCCGCGGGCAGTGGATATGGTGCCTATTGGTTCACGTTTGTCATCAATACCCTGATCACAGTATTGGCCTTTTTGTATGCCAGAGACCTCAATAGACGCCGATCGGGAGCCTATGCCTAAAATAATGTGCCAGCTCAGTTTACAAAATAGTATTAGCCCACTGCAATAACTAGGGGTCATTTATAAAAGGTTCAAGATTAAATAGTACCTAAGTAAACACAACTTATTTTTGAGATACATAAATCATGTAGTCATTTGAGTGATATTTTTTAATTAAATTATTTATGCAATTTTGTATAGATATCACTTATATTTTATATAATACTGTATATAATAAGCATACAGTTATTTTCATTCATTGCCTATTTGTTTGTAATAGTTTTTGTCCGTTTAATAAAAGTATTTATTTTATACGATATTTATCATTGAATGACTAATAGCTAATAGTAGATAAGTTATCAGTGACAACATAATGGAAATATTATTTTGTTATATTTAATTGTTTTTTGCAATATTTCTTTTATTCATAATTAACATGCATATTTAACAAACGACAATTAATAAATTTAAACTAACAAAATAACGTTAGTAGGTTTAAATTTATTTAATTATTAAAAATTATTTTTTAGTAATAAACTATTCATTAATTAAAATATTGATAATGAAAACATTTGTTTTGTATTTTAATCAAANAAATAACGTTAGTAGGTTTAAATTTATTTAATTATTAAAAATTATTTTTTAGTAATAAACTATTCATTAATTAAAATATTGATAATGAAAACATTTGTTTTGTATTTTAATCAAATAAAAATAATTCAATAATTATATTAAAATTAAAAAGCTGTCAATTATAATTGATGATTTCTATTTGTTACATCATCTATCCACTTAATAAATGTATCCGTGGTTGTCATTAGCACCTATATCCCAATTTATTTGCACCATATTTAATAAATTATACAATAGTAATAATAAAAATCTTACAATTTAGAGTTTATAATTGCAAATTAAATCTATATTTAAAGTTTTGCTTATATTTTAAAGTTTAACCGGAGGTTTAATATAATTTATTATTTTACAATATTAATATTTAGTAGTAGCAGCTTGATAAATTTTAATTTGAGTATTTAATAATTAATTCTAGTGTTTATTTGTATTAAATTGATTTAAATAACAAAAACACTATAAATTCTTTATATCATATAAGGCTATAAATAATTATCAAAAGTTTTATGATTATATGAAACGTTTCGAGTGTTATATAAAACGGTTTATCGGCACAAATAAATTAATCTAAAAATGGTTTAATAAATAAAATACAATATACATGTATATATTTTATACTTTTTTGTTATACTACAAGCCTTTTACTTCGTATGTCGCTGCGAATATGAAATATACTGCACAAGTAATCTGACAAAAAAACACTGATTACAAAAATAACCTTAAAATACAATACACTGCCGATTGCACTGTTGTGTCGCAAACAATGATAACACACTAAACAATAGTTCGTAGTTTTGTTAAAATTCATAACAAAAACAGTGTTATTATACGACTATAAAAATAAAAATAAATTATATTTAGCTAGACTAAAAATACTTATTATTTAGTGTATTAGTTTAATTAATATACGGTAATGGAAAGGGAGTCAGATATTTGTACGTTTCAGTGCAAAAAGTGGACATTGTTTTCATTTTGTTTGTTGGGTATTATTAGTACCTTGATAATAGTGATCACACTGTCGGCGGTTATAAGCGCCACCCAAAATAATGACAAAACTATATCCGACCAAGACTTTAAAAATGCCAAGGTATGTCAAAGTAGCATGTTACTTAAAACATTGATTTATTAATCATAATTTAATTGCCGTACTACATATAAATTACTTAAGTTTACTGTATGCATTTATTTAATACAAATAAGTTTGATATTTATTAAATTATTATTTCAATTAATATTATGCTAATTACCAGATTAATTAACACAAAATGAAAAATATTTTATTAACTTATGTATTACCTTGTACAGAAAGTAACGATCGCGATAATCGCCACCATAGGCTCCATAAAAGCGGCGCCAAAAGGGTTGACACTCGTTGTATTAAATTAACGATGGGTTAGAATTGAGCCAGATTAAAACAAAAATTTTTGCAACTATTGTTTTTTGGCACGAATATACTCGTATGCCAACTTTCCCCTAAATCTTAGGGGAACGGTAGCCACAACACATTGCTTAGATCTCAAAAACTATACAATATTTTTAAGTTCTGATTTTTGGAAATGATGCGCAAGGTTGATACGAAAAAAGTAAATTCTGGATTTCCCTACATTTTACCTTGTTGATTTTTAAAAATTAATTTAATACAAATATTTGTGAAATTCAAATGGATATATTTCAGCAATGGAATAAGGTACTAGGGTGCTCTCAAGTTTGTTCAAAAGCTCTTTGTAAATACTAAATATTATCTGCTTGCACCAATATTATATTTGGCACACAGAATATTCTAGTTTAGAAATGAATTTTCTCTGTGTATTTAGCAGTTCAAACGCCTACAAACAAAATAATAAAATGTCATTGTATAAATTTCATTTGTAGACTAGCAATCAATAATTATAAGCCCCATACATAGTGTTGCCAACACTTTTTTTCGAGATTGAAGGACAGAAAGGAAAATTAGACATTTTTATGGAGGAGAATTGGAGGACAAAACTTAAATTATTATTTTAAATATTAAAATTTTATCTTCATTTAATTAAAGAATATTTAAGAATTTTTTCGAGATTGGAGGACAGAAAGGAAAATTAGACATTTTTATGGAGGAGAATTGGAGGACAAAACTTAAATTATTATTTTAAATATTAAAATTTTATCTTCATTTAATTAAAGAATATTTAAGATCAATCTTAATCAATTTATCTGATATTTAGTGATTTTCTTGGGAGAATTTGAATTAAACCTGTGTTGTTATAATCTCCAACATATAAATCTCAAAAATTATGATCCTCTAAAATTACATGAAGATTTTAATTGAACTTAAAATTAAATTTAAACAATAATTGTAAGAATCTAGACAGCCAATCCTATTATTAACTAATTAAAATCCTTTATAGTACTAAATTTTAAAAATTATAAAAGTATTTAAATGAATAAAACCTTTACTGGTAGAATTTTAGTCAATTTGATAGAAATAGGAAATTAATACAGAACCGGTACTGTTTATTATTAAGGTTTATAAAATTGCTGTTATCTATTGAAAATATATACATGCATTCAATAAATTGATAATTTATGCAAAATAATAATGGATTATTTCTAAAATATGTGTTAAAGGAAGCATTATATCTAGGATTATAAATAAAGTTTTTAAAAACTCAAGTAAATTCTTGTGGAGGACATTACATTATCCTCCACAACCCTTCTGGAGGAATGTTCCCCTTCGGGCCAATTGGAGGAGAATCCTCAAGAGTGGAGGAGGTTTGGCAACGCTACCCATACATACAGTGAATACAATAGTAATTTACAGTAAGTTAATAATTAAATGATTTAACATAAAGCTAAAAGTTATATAATTTAAAATTATAAAATAACTAAATTTATTAAATAAATTGTATAACAGATTTTATTTTAAAAAATACTTTTGTTACTATCAATCAATGTATTAATGAATCTAAATAATTTGTGCTAAAAATATGCACGTACAAGAATTTTACAAATATATTATATTATATTTATTTATTTTATCATAACATTGAATTCTTATTAAGCAATACAGTTAATTATTGTATTAAATAAATATTTTTATAAACTGCTATATGAAAGAATATTTTTATGTTGATATAAAATGTGACAGAACAAATAGAAAAATAACACACTCATGTATGCTTTACATCGAGAGAGAGAGAGAGAGAGAGAGAGAGAGAGAGATTAATTGCTTTATGTCTTAGTATACCTGAAATTTGTGGTAAACTAAAATAGTTTAGTTGAATACTATTATGTGTTTCAATATATAATATATCTGTGCAACGAGTAAAGCCCCAATAAATTGATGTTTAATAATCGGTTAGAAATCAGTACTTCCCTTCTCGACCAGTATTTAACTCGCGTTTAAACACCAAAAAAATATTTAATATTTTAGTTTACTATAGTATTATAACTGGAATATATTCTTTGTGTTTGTGTTTAAAATAAAATTTCAATATGGATAGAGTATCGGATATGTGCACGTTCAACTGCAAAAAGTGGACCCTGTTCACATTTTGTTTAATTGATCTAGTAGGCACACTGATCATGGTAATAGCCTTGTGTGTGGTCATCAATAAAGCTGATTATGCTGATCAAACCGATCACACTATTACCAAGGACCAATTCAATGCATCTAAGGTTTGCTATTTACTACATTTCTATAAGTTTTAAAATTTTATATAAAATATTAGTTAAATCACTTAACAAATTAAAATACAAATAAAAAAATAACTGTACTTATTAATTGCATTTCAATAAATAAAATACTTAATAATATTCGTTAATAATTAATATAACACCTTTTACTAAACTAGCATTATTATGTTAATACATAATATCACTTTTAATTAGTAAAGAATATTCTGCAAATGATAAGCTATTCTAAAATAAAATATTTAATATAATAATAAAAGCAAACATAATAGTAAATATTTGTATAACTTTGTACCTTGTTTAGAAAGTGGCAATAGGACTAATAGCGGCGATCGGTACGATCAACATATTGATAGGAATGCTGGGCCTATGCGGTGCTTTCAAAGAACATTACTGTATGACTGTGACCTGTATGTGTATAGCACTCATGGTGGTGGTAACCCTGGGCAGCATCGGGAAGGCCGCGGGCAGTGGATATGGTGCCTATTGGTTCACGTTTGTCATCAATACCCTGATCACAGCATTGGCCTGTTGGTATGCCAAAGACCTCAATAGACGCCATCAGGAATCTATGCCTAAAAATAATGTGCCAGCTCAGTTTACAATATAGTAATAGCCCACTGCAATAACTAGGGGTCATTTATAAAAGGTTCAAGATTAAATAGTACCTAAGTAAACACAACTTATTTTTGAGATACATAAATCACGTTAAGTCATTTGAGTGATATTTTTAAATTAAATTATTTATGCAATTTTGTATAGATATCACTTATATTTTATATAATACAGTATATAATAAGCATACAGTTATTTTCATTCATTGCCTATTTGTTTGTAATGGTTTTTGTCCGTTTAATAAAAGTATTGATTTTATACGATATTAATCATTGAATGACTAATAGTAGATAAGTTATCAGTGACAACATAATGGAAAAATTGCTTTGTTATATTTAATTGTTTTTTGCAATATTTTTTATTCATGATTAACATGCATATTTAACAAATTACATATTTAATAAATTTAAACTATCAAAATAACGTTAGTAGATTTGAATTTATTTAATTATTAAAAATTATTTTGTAGTAATAAACTTTTCATTAATTAAAATATTGATAATGAAAACATTTGTTTTGTATTTTTATCAAATAAAAATAATTCCTTAATTATATTAAAATTAAAAAGCTGTCAATTATAATTGATGATTTCTATTTGTTACAAAATCTATCCACTTAATAAATGTATCCTTGGTTGTCATTAGCACCGATAT